CCAAACTTTATATTACGTGGATTTTACACACAGGACGATGCGTTGAGTTGGAGAAAATAAATAGGAAAATGATTGAAAGAGAATTCTTTAAAGAAAAAAATAATGTGATATTCATTTAACTAGTAATATTTTAAATTTATAATTTTATATAATATTATAATTGTAATATTATTGATTTTTTCATATAACATTTTCAAGATAACCTTAAATATCATAAACGATTAAGTTTTCTTACTCAACTTAGACTTAAAATATTGTATGAATTTAATATTTTAATAATATATAAAAATTATATTAAAAAATTTAAAAATCTTAGTCTGTTTTTTCCATAACATATATCTTTTAATTTCTCACTAGCCAAAGTGAAAATTCAAACAATTAAGATCAATTGTGAGATATATATATATATATATATATCTGAAATTCCCCTCGGAATGAACCTGGTTCTCTCATGCAAGCAAATCCCAATAGAACCTGCAAAAAATCCCATCTGTAAACCTTAAACTACTCCCTTCGAACACTGCTCAAATCTCACCCGATTGTTCCGAAATCCGATCACAGAAAGGAATGAAAACCCCTATCCATGGCGAGCTCAAATCGAAGCCTCCTCTACGTCGCCCCAAAGCGCCTCCACCTGCCACAAAAAAGGCTCAAGCTTCACTGGTTCTGATCTGAAAGTCCAAATCAGATTCAATTGATCTAAAAGGCTTTCAAACCCACATATCAAAAGGCACGAATTGATGGTTTACAGGCACTCGAGCTCGTCGGTGTGTGATTGGTTCCCTCCACTGCGAGCTCCCCGTTCCGCGACGGGGTTTACACTCACGAACGACGTTGCTATCACAGGATGGTTCCATTGTGCCAGGCGAAATACAGGTTCCTCGAGCAGCAACAAAACCCAGCATCATCGTGTGATGGGGAGAAAACCTATATTGGGTTCTACGGTTAACCTCCGATACAAGAATTCAAGAGGAGAGGAGAAGATGGAGCGGTAACGAATGAGACAAACCCTTTGAAGGGCAAATTTAGAATTTTAATTTATTTAATTAAATTTAATTTGATTAAAGTATAATAGTCCACTGAGGCTTCTGACATGGCAAAAACATTTGTCAACCTACCCAATGTGTCTTACGTGTCATTTCCACGGCATTAAAATGTTCAAAACAAGCTTGATTTCCCGTTAGTTTAACGGGCCATGTACGTGAGTCATTAACGGAGGACAAAATTCGGTGCAGAATTGTAGAGTTAGGAGCTAGAAAAGTGTAAATTGAGTTGAGGGACTAAATATTAATGCAAAATACTAACGTTGAGGGCCCAAATATATAACCCAAAACCCTATATGTTTCTCATCTTGCAAGTTACAACTGACAAGCTTAGTACGGCAGTGCGGCTGGTGGGTCCAGGTATCTAAACTAATCAAGAAAAACTTAGAAAAGGTTCGGAAATCGAAACTAGACAAGAGTAAGTGCTCTTATCAACGAAGGCTGATTCGAGTTTGACGAAGGGCTGACACGTGGAATAAGCAGATTAGGGAACCATGATTTTTGAATTAAAAAAATATATATGTTTTTAATATTTATTTATCTTTTTATTTTTTTAAATTATGTATATTAATTGTATCATAACTTTAAAATAT